ATCAGGTCCTTCAGCTTCTCGCACATGGCCCGGCCACGGCGCTCCGCCTGGCTGCGGTGGACGAGGACGGACAGCGCATCCACCGGCTCATCATTGACCAGGATCGACATCTTGACGAGGTCGCCCGCCCGGTAGTCGGAAATCTGGTAATCGAATGAGGCGTAACCTTTGGAAACTGATTTCAGCCGGTCATAGAAATCAAAGACGACTTCATTGAGCGGCAGGTCGTAGGAGACCATGGCGCGTGAACCGACATAGGAAAGATCCACCTGGATACCACGCCGTTCCTGACAGAGCTTCAGGATGGCACCGAGATAGTCGTCGGGCGTCATGATCGTTGCCCGGATCCACGGTTCGCGGATTTCTGTAATCTTGACGACATCCGGCATGTCCGCCGGGTTGTGCAATTCGAAATCCGAGCCGTCTGTCAGCGTCATCTGGTAGACAACAGACGGCGCGGTCGCGATCAGGTCCAGATTGAATTCACGCGACAGTCGCTCCTGGATGATTTCCAGGTGCAGCAAGCCGAGGAACCCGCACCGGAAGCCAAATCCGAGCGCTGCGGAAGTTTCCATTTCGAAGGAAAAGCTCGCATCATTGAGCCGAAGCTTGCCCATCGCGGCGCGCAGGTCTTCAAAGTCGTTGGCATCGACCGGAAAGAGACCGCAGAATACGACCGGTTGGGCCGGCTTGAAACCCGGCAGGGGTTCTGCGCACGGCTTCTTGTCCAGCGTGATCGTATCGCCAACCCGTGTGTCGGCCACTTCCTTGATGGATCCGGTGATCACACCGATTTCGCCGGAACGAAGCTCATCCACCTGAATGAATTTCGGCGTCATGGCACCGACGCGGTCGACGTCGTAGGAGGCGCCCGTTCCCATCATCTTGATTTTCTGACCCTTCTTCAGCGAGCCGTTGATGACGCGTACCAGGACCATCACACCGAGATAGGTGTCGTACCAGCTATCGACCAGCATCGCTTTCAGGGTTTCGTCCGGATCACCGTTGGGCGCCGGCAGCTTGTGGACGATCGCTTCCAGCACATCTTCGACACCGAGTCCGGTCTTCGCGGAGATCATGCAGGCATCGGAGGCGTCGATCCCGATGACGTCTTCGATCTGTTCCTTGATGCGCTCCGGTTCGGCAGCCGGCAGATCGATCTTGTTCAAGACCGTGACGATCTCGTGGTCGTTGTCGATCGCCTGATAGACGTTTGCGAGCGTCTGCGCTTCCACACCCTGCGAGGCGTCGACCACAAGCAGAGAGCCTTCGCAGGCGGCCAGCGAACGTGAAACCTCATAGGCAAAGTCCACGTGGCCGGGGGTGTCGATCAGGTTCAGCGTATACTGCTGGCCGTCCTTTGCAGTGTAGATCAGCCGGACAGTCTGAGCCTTGATCGTGATACCGCGTTCGCGCTCGATATCCATGGAATCGAGAACCTGTTCGGTCATTTCGCGGTCGGTCATCGTTCCTGTCATCTGGATCAGACGGTCGGCGAGCGTCGACTTGCCATGATCGATATGGGCCACGATGGAAAAATTTCGGATGTTGGAAAGCGTCTTCGTCGTCATGGCCGCCCCTTTACCACCGCAATTTGCTTTCGACCAGAAAAATGCGCGCGTGGTAGCCGGAAATCCGTTGCTTTTTTGCGGAACAAACGATGGTCAGGTGCTGCAGCTGTTCGGCGGTGCCGGTTCCCTACCGGCAAATGACGTATATCAGGCATGATATTTATCATGACAATTCAAATTCGCCGTGAGATCGGGCGTCACCCGCGGAATTCGAACTGCCCGCAAATGAGATGAACCATGCATATTCGAAACGCTGAAGCCAAAGATATCCCCGCCATCCTGGCGCTCTACAATCATGCGGTGCGAGAGACGACGGCTGCCTGGACAGGCTGCGAGGAGACGCTGGAGGACCGGGTGATCTGGTTTGAAGCCAGAAAAAGCCAGGGCTTCCCGGTGATTGTAGCGGTGGACACACAGGAAAGAGTGGCCGGGTTTGCCAGCTACGGGCCATTCCGTTCGAAGGAGGGCTACCGGTTCACCGTTGAACATACGGTTTATGTCGATCCATCAAGGCACAGGCAGGGGATTGGCAGAAATCTGATGTTTCGTATTCTGGAGATCGCTGAAGCCGACGGGATTCACGTTCTTGTCGGGGGCGTCGACGGCGACAACCTCGCTTCTATCCGTCTCCACGAGGCGCTTGGCATTGAAGTCACTGGAAGATTGCCGCAAACGGGCACGAAATTTGGCCGCTGGCTGGATCTGGTGTTTCTGACGAAGGTATTGAGCGAGACGAGAGCGCCTGAAGGCCGGTAGGCGTTCTGTGCCGATATGCGTTTTGAACGTCATGCCTGACAAGTTCGCGACTGCGACAGCGATTGAAAATTTGGCAAAACGGCGATCCGGGGCATGGTCCATGACACTGGAACGGAGAACAATCCTACTGCGCCGTCAGCACAGTCTGGCAGGCTTTGGGCAGGGCTGCGAGTGCCATTGGTCGTTTTTTGACGATTTTCGGTTTTTCACCCGGCTTGGGCGGGTTCTTCGGCACCCATGGTTCGTCGGACAGCCAGTAGGTCAGATGTGAACCGCATCCGTCTCCCGGAGGCGGAGGGTTCTGGTTCTTGCAGCCGCCGCTTCCTTTCGGACAGGCAAGGCGGACATGGAAATGATAGTGGTGCCCCCACCACGGGCGCACCTTGCGCAGCCAGGCACGGTCACGGCTCTTTTCGAATTCGCAAAGGGCCTTCTTGATCGTCGGATTAACGAAGATCCGGGCGACACGCTTGTCGGAGGCCGCACGGCGGATCAGGCGCGCATGGGTATCTGTCCACTTTCTCGGATCAACCCGGCGATCGGCGCCTTTGATATCGAGAGGGCCCTTGAGCATCGAAATCGCGGAGATTTCCTCGCGCTCTTCAACCGTAAGCCTCCGGTTCGGCATTTCCGTCAGCCAGATATCGGCATCAAGGCCGATCTGATGACTGGCGTGGCCAGAGAGCATGGGTCCGCCGCGGGGTTGGGCGAGATCTCCGACCAGAAGACCGTTCCAGCCGACTTTCGGTGCATCGGTCGCAAGATCCTTGAGATAGTCGATCAGTTCCGGGTGTCCCCAGTTTCTGGTCCGCGAAAGTCGCATTGCCTGCCAGCTCGCCCCGTCAGGTGGAAGCGAAGCACCACCGGCAAGACAGCCTTTGGCGTAGGAGCCAATTGCACGCGCTTTCAGGGGAGCCGGGCCGTTCGCGGCTCCGAAATAGTCCTTTGCCGGCAATTGCGAGCGAAGCACCAGCTTGGGTTTCGTTGCGACGTAGCCCTCCGGAACTTCCCGTTTTTTCGCAGGAACAGGGACACCGGCAACAACTGTGAGGCTCGGCTGATAGTCTTCAGAAGCGGTTCCGCCCGGTTTGGCCGCCGGGACAGGTGTGACCGCGGCAAGAGAGGAGCTTGCTGCGACAACCGCAATCAACGCCACCAGGCCGGCAAAATGTCTCTTCCGGAAAGTCCGCTCAGATCGTCCACGCTCGGTCACGGGTCAGCCTCGTGCATCTGTGTCGGCAGGTTGCCGCAATCCTGCCTGTCGGCAATGCGGCAACCTGATCTTCAGGCAGCATGCACCAAATCGGGATGCTGCGCATCCGTTTCCGATGTTTCCATGTGGGCTTTCAACAGATCGGCCAACTCGTCGAGCAGAACCGTGTGGTCGCGGATCACCCGATCGGCTGCTCCGTTCAACGCGATGATGTTGCCGGGGCGTGCGTTGTCCATGTCTTCGGCTTCCGCGTCGAGAACAGCGTTCAGACGGTGATATGTCACGTTGGGCAATTCGTCGAAAAGGTGCTGTGCCTGGTAGGCGGACGTTTGAGACTGTCCGTCCGCAAAAATGGACAGGATGGGTACACCCTTGGACGGCTGCATCCATCCGAGCGCGCCCCATCCAATCGCTTCCTTGTAGGGGAACGGTCGTTTTTCAGCCTTGCCGGTTCCAAGTGACAGTATGACCAACTCGTCCTGGTCCCAGCCGATCTTGCGGGCTTCCAGATAGGCCGCGATTGCCGGATCGTTCATGAAGACACCGCCGTCGACAAGAGCCTCATCGCTCTTCAGGGTGAGGTTCTCGACACGGGCAGGGTCGAAATAGGAAGGTGCAGCCGTGGTCGCGCGCACGGCCTGCCAGAAATAGTAGTCATTCGGCCGGCTGCCGTTTTCCTCAAGTCCGTTGGTCATGAACACGGCCTTGCGCTGTTCAATGTCATACGCGGTGAGGACCAGTTTTGTCAGCGCGCTGGCCATGGAGGTCCAGCCGAACCTTTCTTTCAGGAGCTTTTCCAAAGGCCGCGCGTCATAGGTCTCGTCGAACAGGCCGAGCGGATTGCTCACCGCGCGTGCCAGCCGTGCCGTGATGGAATTCTTGAAGATGTCCCGCGCCTCGCGCTCGTAGAAATTTCTGAGCTCGGCAATGGTGGCAGCGGCTTCTCCGGCTGTCCCGCCGGGTCGCGGTGCGCTCAGTCCAGCGGTGATCAGTCCGCCGGTCGAAGTTCCGGCCATCAGGTCGAAAATCTGATGCATTGGCTTGTTGACGCCTCGCTGGCCAAGGCGGCTTTCAAGCGTTTCGAGAATGCGCAATGGAATAAGTCCGCGGACACCGCCGCCGTCAATAGATAGAATAAAACGTCTTTTCTGGGTCATGGTTGGTCCCCGGGGTGGTCAATCTGGAAGGGGCAGCGTCTGTTCGCAGGTCCGCCTCACACGCTTATGTTATCTGTCCTTAAATGTTTGCGACCAATTACGACACTGCAATGGCAATTTGAAAAAGATAGGACTTAATCGGAAAATTTGGAGAGCAATCGGTTAATCGAATTGCTGGAATTCTGCAGATTTTCAGCTCCCGTGGCAATTGCAACCCACAATACGCGTTTGCCGCCCTTTATCCGGAGGTTGATTTCGGCATAGGATCTGTCCGGATTTTTTACCACTCCGACAGGATGTTTCATGAATATCGAACTACTTCGCCGTCTGTGCGAAACACCGGGCGTCCCGGGGCACGAGCACCGGGTACGCGAACTCATTCAAGACGAGATCAAGGGGCTTTTCGACGAAGTGACCGTGGATCCGATGGGATCACTTCTGTGCCGGCGGAACAGTCGCAAGAGTTCCAGGAAGGGTGACCCGAAGAAGGTGATGCTCCTGTGTCACATGGACGAGATCGGCTTCCTGGTCTCGCATGTCACCGACAAGGGGTTTCTTCACGTTCAGCCGGTCGGCGGTTTCGATGCGCGCAACTTGTTCTCACGCCGGGTTCTCGTTTCCACCGACGACGGTGAATTCAAGGGCGTCATGAACCCGGGCGGCAAACCCATCCACATCTCTTCGCCCGAGGAACGAAAAAAGGTTCCCGAGCCAAAGGACTTCGTGGTCGATATCGGGCTTGGCGACAAGGCCAGGGACGTCGTCAAGGTCGGTGACATGGTGACGATGGACGAGCCCCTGATCGAGATCGGAGACAAGATCGTTTCTAAGGCACTCGACAACCGTATCGCTTGCTGGCTCGGCGTGGAGGCCGTCAAGGGGCTTGGCAAGTCAAAGCACGAATGCGAGATCCACGTTGCCTTTACGTGTCAGGAGGAGGTTGGCCTGCGCGGTGCGCGAACCGCTTCCTTTGCCATCAAGCCGGATATCGGCCTGGGTGTCGACACGACCCTTGCCTGTGACACGCCTGGTGTTCCCGAACAGGACCGCACGACAGTCCAGGGCAATGGCTTCGGTCTGCATGTCAAGGACAGCAGCTTCATCGCCGACCGTGATCTTGTAAAGGAATTCGAGGCGCTTGCGGAAAAGGAAAAGATCCCGTTCCAGCGCACGATGCTGGCGGCGGGTGGCCAGGACGGGGCAGCGGCACAGCAGGCTGCCGCAGGTGCCAAGGCCGTCGGCATCGTCGTCGGTACGCGCTACATCCACACGGTGACGGAAATGATCCACAAGTCGGATCTTCAGGCGGCCCTGGACGTGCTGGTGGCGTATCTGAAGAAGGCTTGAGGACTTTCTGATGGGCAAGGAGGCATAAGCGTCCTTGCTCCAGTCCATTGGTCGCCATCCCGCTCAGGCACATCGTGAACCGGGACCAGGGTGCGTTCACCCCTTGGAAGTTGGGGATTGTCTCGGGCTCTGACACATGCCGACCCCGGATATTTGCCACACGGCGTCCGGGGCGACGATGCCAGGATTTGGTGTCGAAGTCTTGCGGATGATTTGGTTACGCCAACAGACCGGCGAGGTTCGAAACCTGTTCGCCCGTTCCGGCATAGAGTTCGCTGACAGACGCGCTCTGGTAGCTGAAGGAGCCGTTGTCGAATTCGCCTTCGATGCTGGACGCGCTTGCTGAACGAACCGAGAGCCCGGTTTCGCTGTTGTAGGAAACCCGCTCAAAAGAAACGAATTGCGCTGACACGGTTTCGCCGCCGATCTCCGCTTCGATAGTGGTGGTGGAAATGGAGGCGCTTTCATAGGCAAGGGAAGCGGAAGGACCTTTTTCTTCCTCGCCGAGAGCAGCTTTCAGTTTTCCGGCAGCTTTCTGGTAATCCTCGACGGTCGCAAGGGCCTTGTCCTTGCTCTTCTCGTCGTCTTCGCCCTTGCCCTTGTCGACAGCTTGCTGAAGCGTGGCGATAACCACGGCATCTTCTTCGGCTTTTTTGCTCGCCGCCTCGAGAACGGATACGGCGGGGGCCTTGTTATGGCCGTTACGCTGGCCGATATCGTGCCCGTATGCATGACCTTTCGGACCGTGCCCGGATCCTTCTGGACCACCGCTGGAAAAGGAAGCTGAAAACAGGCTCGAACTCTGGGTCGTGGTTTCGACGGAGATCTGCATGTGCTTGAATCCCGGTTTCGCCGGCCCTTCCTGGTCCGGCACAGATCCTGACAGCATCCGGCAATTGGGTTAATAGGCCATTAACCAGTAACGCCGGGAAACGGATCAGGGTTGGACTTCAGCCGAAAAGGTGGTTTTTGAGGAAGCCTCCGCCAAGCGACAGACCCCTGTCGTCGATCGCATGACCGAGGCCTTCCAGCTCGTGGTAGTCGACCTGCAGCCCGGCGGTGGCCAGCGCATCACGCGCAGCTCTGCCGTGATAGCTTGCCACGACGTCATCTTCAGCACCGTTGACGATCAAAACGGGAGTGTTCGTGTTGATCCGATTGAGCCTGTCTACCCCGGGAAGCAGACCCGAATAGGCAATGAGCGCGGCGGGCGGCGTTGTCCGCCGCAGGCCGCATTGCAGCGTCATCATCGCCCCCTGACTGAAGCCGACGAGCGAGAGCGATTGCCCATCGAGTGAAAGCTTGTCCAGTTCCCGGTCCAAAAACCGGTCGAGGATGGGCTGGGCGGCTTCGGCGCCGATCCGGTATTCCGTCGGCGTGCGCTCGTTCAGGGCAAACCACTGGCGCCCGCCGAAGCCTTCAAACGGCAAGGGCTCTGGTGCATGCGGTGAAACGAAGGCCGTTTCCGGAAAAAGAGGTTGCCAGAAACGAGCCAGATCGATCAGGTCGTTGCCGTCAGCCCCGTAGCCGTGCAGAAGAACGATGAGGTGCCTGGCAGCCCCGCCGGAGACCGGTGGCAGGCGTGGTCCATCGAGAAAGGAGACCTCGGACATTGGGAATTACTCCGCTGGGTTTTCCCGTTCCGAGGCGGTGGCGTCGGACAGATGTTTTTTCTGCAGTTTCATGAAGGGCAGCGCGATCAGCATGGACGCGAGGATCAGAAGCCACGCAAGCGCGAACGGCGCACCGGGAAATGAGATAACTGCATCTGGACCGGAGAAATGGGCAAGGTCTGTGTCATGACGAACGGGCTGACCACCATGGAAAGACCCGCGGCGCTTGAGATCAAGCCTTGAAGTTCGCCTTGTGCATTATCAGGAATTCGGTTTGACATCAGTCCTGTGAAGGCGGGGGTTGCCAGCGCACCGAATGCGGCGAACGTGACCAGTGCATAGGCCATCCAGCCCGTATCGGCGACAGCCAGGCCTGCGAAGGCGACAAGGTTGGCGCAAAGCCCGATCAAGAGGGTTCGTCCTGGTCCGAATTTCGGCTCCAGCACCCGGATAAGGTACCCCTGCACAAACGCAAAACCGACACCGACAAAGGCAAGTGACAGACCGATGTCGCCGGGCGTCCATGCGAAGACCTCCTCGGCGTAGTAGCTCCAGACCGCCGGATAGACATAATGGGCAATGTCGAACAGGAAAACGGCCAGCAGAAGTGTCCGGACGGCGGGGTACTTGGCGATCTGTTTCAGGGCACCAAGAGGATTGGCGCGCTTCCAGTCGAAGGGGCGCTTGTTGTCTTCCTTCAAGGTCTCCGGCAGCATGAAGTAGCCGAACAGGAAATTGATGAAGGAAAGCAACGCTGCGGCATAAAATGGCGCTCGCGGTCCATATTCGCCCAGGAAGCCGCCAATCATCGGGCCGAGCACGAAGCCGACGCCGAAGCCGGCGCCGACCAGCCCGAAATTCTTGGCCCGGTCCTCCTTTGAGGAAACATCTGCAATATAGGCGGAAGCGGCCGAGAAGGTCGCACCTGCAACGCCGGACAGCGTCCTGCCTATGAAAAGGATCACCAGATGCCAGGAAAGGGCCATGATCAGGTAGTCGACAGCCATCGCGAACATGGACACGAGCAGCACGGGCCGACGCCCGAACCGGTCCGAAAGATTGCCGAGCGTAGGTCCGCACAGGAACTGCATCAACGCGTAGATCACACTGAGGGCTCCGCCCCATCGAGCTGCCTCGCTCACCGGGAGCGACGTCAGCTCGGTCAGCAGCGAAGGCATGACCGGCATCATCAGGCCAATACCCATGGAGTTGATGATCAACGTGATCAGAATGAACGTGAGAGCGCTTCTCTTTGACATACCGGCCGGCAAGATGACTTCCTTGGTGAGGCGATAATAGTTCGCCGGGTGCCGATTTGCGACCCGCCTTCCGCGAATGGTCCGGTCACGGCCGCAAGTGCGACCGTGACAATCTGGTTCAGTTCGCCTCTGGTTTCTGGATCTGGAAAATCAGCCCCTGAACCTCCTGGCCAAGTTCCTTGCGCAGGACTTCCTGGCGGTCCGTCTTGTAAATCAGCGAAGCTTCTTCAGTGGATTTGCGAATGTAATCAGGTGTGTGTGCGTAGCGCCCGGAGGCGTCGACACGAAATTCGGGTCCGGAATCGTCGACAAGATGTTCAACACTGGCAACCAGGATACCGCCGGGTTTCAGCGCACCTGCCAGTGCCTTCATGAACGGGCGCAGATTGCCGATATAGCAAAGCGTATCGACGCAAACAGCCAGATCGAAACGGGTTGGCAGGTCGGAACTCAGGAAGGAAACCAGTTCTCCCTCGACCAGAAAGTCATAGACGTTCAGTTGCGCTGCCTTTTCCATCATGCCGCGGGACAGGTCGACACCGGTCAGCTTGCCGCAGTGGTCGCTGATCAGCGGACCGCACAGACCGGTTCCGCAGCCGAGATCGACGACGTCCGGGAAGGGTTCCGTCTTTTGACCGGCGAGCGCAACAACGTCCTCGGCCACGAGTTCCGGCGCGCGATACCCGAGACCTTCAAGAACTTCATCGAACGAGTCGGAAAACTTGTCGAAATGGGTTTTGACATAGTCCTCCGGAGCGTGTTGCAGGTCATCTCCGCGCACCGCTGAAAGATGATAGTGCGCGGCTTTGTTCTCCGGATCGGCAGCGACAATATTCTCGAGGTGGATTTTGGAAAGATCGGGGCGTCCAAGTGCACTCAGAACGCGCGCGCGCCAGAGAGCCTGCGGCGCTTTCGGGTCATCGAACCTGAGCGACTTCTCGAAGGCGTCTGAAGCTTCCTCCTTCGAACCCGTGAACATCAGCGCGAGGCCGTAGGTATGCCAGGCGTTGGGATTATCAGGGTCGAGGCGAACGATCTCCGACATGATCGTCAGGATTTCGTCATAGTCGCCCGACGCCCGCAGAAGGACATTGATGTTTTTCCACGCTTCTTCGTGCCTGGAATCGAGTTCCACGGCGCGAACATAGGCTGCAAATGCTGCCTTTGGCTCGCCGACGATCTTGAGAATGTTACCGAGATTATTGAGGGCCGACGTGTTGCGTTCATCATTTTCAAGCGATTTCTGGATCAGATCGATCGCGCTGTCGGCTCGTCCCGCATCAAATTGCAGCAAGCCGAGAAAATGTAGTCCGTCCGCGTGTTCCGGATCCTTGTTCAATATTTCCAAATAAATGTCTTGTGCAGTTTCCAGATCACCTTTGCGATGTGCTGCGATGCCTTCCTGCAACCTTTCATCAGTCTGCATGTTTCCCCCAATAAAAAAGGGCGGTCGAACCGCCCTTGCATTCGGAAAGTTCTGTAAAGCGACTTTACAGGACTTTCAGGTCTTCAGCCACCATCTGCCCACGGCGCCACTCCAGATCGAAAACCACAAGCTGGCCTTCCGTCAAGGTGTCGATGCCGGACCGGTGCAGGGCCGAGATGTCAACGAGGATGTCCTCGCCGTCTTCGGGTTCGATTGTGCCGACACCGCGGCCCTTATCAAACCATTTCACATTTCCATGTTGCATGGAGCTTACTTTCCAATTTTACTCATCGAGACATACAGTTTGAGTTTCTACCTTCATTTTTCGACGTCTTGATGACAGTGTTTCTGATAGCGCTAAAGTACTTTTCAAATTTCCTTTTGAAATAAACACGCACGTGCGCAGCTACTGTGTGCCGCCGCAAACTTTTGCGCAGTTCAATTTCAGAAGGAATCAGCTTTCCCGGCTAATAAGTGCGGGAAGTCTTAGCTTCTCTTAGTATGGTAAGGAATTTGTTAATTTCAAGGTACGACCTAAAACAGGTCACGGCAGCAGCGACTGCTGTCGCTGCTGTTGGTCTTGTCGCAAAAAGGGACCGCGGCATGAATTCCGGCAGGCACCGGACCGGTCCGCCGCGGCGATAAGCTGTTACCTGTCCAACTGCCCGAGGATCACGTATTTCAGAATTTCAGCAACCTGTTCCGACGTTTCGGCAACGGCAAGCGCAGCACCGTCGACTTCTTTGAGTGGATGGGTCAGCGACGGATCGTGAACGACGATCAGCGATTTTCCAAGCGCAGACGCGTAGCCTGCGTCGAAGGCCGCGTTCCATTGCTTGTACTGATCCCCGAACCGGACGACGACGATGTCCGCCTTTTCGATCAGCGTGCGGGTCCGGATCGCATTGACCTTGGCACCCTTGTGGTCATACCAGAATTTCTTGTCCTCGCCGCCGAGAATGACAGCGCCGCAATCATCGCTCGCCGAATGGTCTGTCACCGGTGCGGAAAATTCCACCGGCAGGTCAAGTGCTTTCACACCGTCGACAATTCTTTCACGCCAGTCGGTATGAATCTCACCTGAAAGATAAACGCGCCAGTTGCTCATAGTGTCGACCCCTCGATCATTGGTTCCAAATAGGCTTTGGTTGATGCAGAAGCTGTTACGTCCCGGGCGTCGCGTCAAGGTCGGGGACCGGTCCTGAAGCCTTCAACAACAGAGCAGTCCGATCAGATACGCCAGGTTTCGGGCAAAACATTCCTATTTCGTATTCAAATGCCACACGCCATCCCAGGCGGCCGGTGCGCCCTGCGCCGAGATCAGTTCAAGCCGGTTTAGAAATACCGTAGCGATCTGATCGTTTGGAAAAGTTCCAAGAATTTCTTCAAAAGCCTGCTGCGCCTCCGACCAGCGTGCCTGGGAGAAGGCACGAAGTGCTTCTTCTGAAGCGGTTTGCAATTTCGACAGATCCTCGGTCATTTCGTCTGATCGCGCCAGCGGGGTGTAGACACTGGTCGGCTCCGTCTTGCCCTTCACCTGGATCTTGTCGACTGCGCGGAATTCGATTGCCGAGACCGTGTCCCGGGTTCTCTGGCAAACGAGGATCTGGGTGCCATAGATCTTGTTGGCGCTTTCCAGCCGCGCGCCAAGGTTCACCGTGTCGCCCATGATCGTATAGTTCTTGGTCTTTTCCGACCCGATGGAGCCGATCACGGCATCGCCGGTCGCAAGTCCGATCCGTTGCCTCAGGACCGGCAGGTTCTTTTGAAGACCGGTCAATTCCGGCAGCTCCTTCTGGAACTGCAACATCAGTTGGACATTGCTGAGGGCGCTCTCAACCGCGAGCGTTGCCTGATCCCCGTCATTGCTGAACGGTTGGGCCCAGTAAGCCATGATCGCGTCACCGATATATTTGTCGATCACGCCCTGGCGGTCGGTGATCTCGGTCGACATCAGGTCGAGATACCTGTTGAGGACCCGAACGAGACCACCGGGTGTGAACTGCTCGGATATCGTTGTGAAGTCGGCCAGATCGGAGAAATATGCGGTGACCACCTTTTTCTCGCCCGCCGACGCGTCGGATTGATCCGAGATCAGACCTGTAACCACACGCGGATCAAGATACTGGCCGAACGTGTCCTTGATCTTCTGCGTCGATCTCAGTCCGTCGACCATTGTGTTGTAGCTTTGGGTCAGGGCGCCGATCTCATCGCGCGACAGCGGTTGGAGCCGGACGTCAAAGTCGCCATCCTCGACACGCTTTGCCCCGGACGAAAGGGCCCGCATGGGTTTGAGGATGCCGGATATGACGAGGGTTGAAAGCAACAAGGCCAACGCACCGGCGGAGGCCGTTGCCGCTATGCTGGCATATAGGGCCTGTTGCTCGTGAAGAGCAGCGGTAGCAATAGACTGGTCGGTAAAGGCGCTGACATGCTGGCGAAGCGAGTCGAGCCGTTCTGTGAGTTTTTGTTCTTCACTCTCCAACTGCTCCTCAAGGTTTTCCCGTGTCGCTGGTGGCAGGTCCGATGACTTCACCAGATTGAGCGCTTGGCTGTGGAAGCTGCTGTGTTGTGTTTCTATCGCGATCAGCGTCGGATAGAGGGCTGCCAGTTCCAGCTTGTCCGTCAGAGACGAGGCCGTGTCCTGAGCGGAACGGACGCGTCTTTCAGCCGATCTCAGAAGAGACTCAACGGTGTTTGCATGGGTCTCGAACAGGTTGAGACCCGCCTTGAGCCTTGCTTCCAGGTGGTTGATCCTCGCTTCAATGTCCGGATGTTCACTGATCGCGGCATCGATTTCCGTATCGGTTGCTCCGGAATTGAGTGCTTCAAGACGGTCCGCGCGCAGTTCCGCTTCCAGTTTCTCAACCCGCTCCAGTTCAAGCTCTTCCTTTAACGCAATCACTTCGATTTGCGCGACTTCATGCCGGAGTGGCGAAAAGACCTGCGAGATCAGCTGAAGTTCCTTGTTGATCTCGAAGATCTTGTAGATCGAATAGGTGGCAGCGGTCGCCATGACCAGAAACACGATCAGCGAGATTCCGAATATCTTCCATGCAATGCGCATTGTTTGGTTGGCCTAACGATCCGGGCAGATGATGGACTATACCTGTTTCGGTTGTAGCAGGTCTTCGAGTGCCACACGATAGTTGGGATACTTGAAGGAGTATCCCAGTTCTTCCTTCACTCGCTTGTTTGAGACCCGCTTGTTTTCTCCATAGAAAGATCGGGCCATCGGCGTCAGGTCAGCGGTCTCGAACGGAATTTCCGGCGGCGGTTCGACACCAAGCAACTCGGCGGCAAAGGCAACAACGTCCTGCGGGGGAGCAGGCTCGTCGTCGGTTATGTTGAAGACTCGGGTCACAGGCCGTTTCATGGCAAGGCTCATGGCGCTCGCGATGTCTGCGACATGGATCCGGTTGAAGACCTGGCCCGGTTTGACGAGCCGCCGGGCTTTGCCCTTTTTGAATTTCTCGAACGTGTTGCGTCCGGGGCCATAGATACCGGACAGTCTGAAAATTTGAACCGGCAGATCATGTTCCGCTGCAAACTTCAACCAGGCTTCCTCGGCTGCGACGCGTTGTACGGAGCGCCTGGAGACCGGTTTGCAGACCGTGGCTTCGTCAACCCATGCACCATCGTGATTGCCGTAGACACCTACCGTTGACAGATAACCGGTCCAGTCTGGTTTCCCGGAGGCGATATCTTCTCCATGATGATTGAGCACCGGATCACCGGTTTCGTTCGGTGCAATTGAAATCAGCACATGTGTTGCCCGCTGCAGCGCCTCGGCAATGCCGTCACCCTTTGCTTCGCCATTGAAAAGAAAGGGCGCGACTCCCAGTTTCCTGAGTGCGTCTGCTTTTTCCGTCGAGCGGGTCGTTCCGCCAATCCATTCGAACCGGTCGCGCACTTCCTCGACAAACGCTGTTGACGAATAGCCGACACCAAAGACAAACAATCGCATCTAGTCAGAGCTCCAGGTGGTTTCGGCGGATTTCGTAGAGTGCAACACCGGTGGCAACTGCCAGATTGAGACTGTCGGCCTGACCCGTTTGCGGAATTCGGATCAGGGTGGAACAGGCGGCGGCCATGTCGTCTTCAAGCCCCTTCTGTTCGTTACCCATGACCAGAAGGACCGGTTCGGAGTAATCGGGCGTCCTGTAGTCGACGGCGCCTTTCAAGTGGGTGGCGGCAACCGTTCCGGGCCACTTTGCTGCAAATGTCTTGAATTCTTCCTTTGTCATCTTGGCGAGCGGCACATGAAACAGGGAGCCCATGGTCGCCCGAACGGCCTCGACCGCGAACGGGTCCGTACAATCGCTGACAAGGACGACACCGCTTCCTCCGACCGCGTCGACTGTCCGGATGATCGTTCCGAGATTTCCCGGATCGCGCACTCTGTCGAGGGCAACCCAGAGGACGCCGCTCGTTGGGTCGATATCTTGTGCAGAAAGGATCTTTTGTTCATAGACCCCGACGACCGTCTGGGGATTGTCCTTGCGGGTCATTGCCGACATCACAGCTGTCGAGACTTCAAGGATCAACGCACCGCGTGCCTTGGCGTTCGCAGCGGCCTTCTGGGCAGCTGGATTGTTCCTGGCTTCCGGGCCGATCGCCAAATACCGCACATTCCAGCCGGCCTCCAGCGCATCGGTTGCCAGCTTCAGACCCTCGGCAACGAACAGGCCCGACTGATTACGGTGCTTGCGTTGCGCTACGAGGCCCTTGATTTCCTTGACTATGGGGTTCGAATGGCTGGTGATCTGTTTCACCGCGCCCTGGTGCTTTTCGATCATCGGCTGCTCCACCTGGAAAAGAGCGATGTCGACAGCGCGCGTTCGCCGTTTTCTTCACGGATGACGAGTTCCCCCGACTCCAGCAGGCCGCCTTGTTGCGACAGTGTTTCCGCCATGAGTTCGTGTATGGCCACGAAGCTGGAACGGATCGCGTAAGCTGTAAGGATCATGAACAGGGAGTCCTCGGTCAGCAACTGCCTGAGATCCCGCAGCATTCCTGGAAGACTGGTGTAAAGATCCCAGACCTCGCCCTTGGGGCCGCGTCCGTATTTCGGCGGATCGAGAATGATGCCGTCATAGGTGTTGCCGCGCCGAACTTCCCGCGCAACGAACTTGGATGCGTCCTCGCAGATCCAGCGGATCGGCAGATTGTCGAGGCCGGACAGTGCCTGGTTTTCACGTGCATAACCGATTGCCTTCTTGGAGGCATCAACGTGTGTTACCTGGGCACCTTCCGCAGCAGGAAGCAGAGAAGCAAGGCCGGTATAGCCAAAGAGATTGAGGATCTTGAGGGGTCTGTCGGGAACGCGCTCAAGTTCACTGCGAACCTTGCCGTTCACCCAGTCCCAGTGCGCGGCCTGCTCCGGAAAGACACCGACATGGCGGAACGACATGAAACGGCCGTTGTAACGAGCCGGTCCGTAAGACATCGGCCAGGTTTCAGGCACATTGCCCGAGAACTTCCAGCGACCGGGCCCTTCTTCCTCCGTATCTCCGGAAAAGACGGCATCCGCCCGGTTCCAGACACTTTCCTTGAGCTTGCGGGCACCCATGGCCTGGGGTTCCGGCCGCACGATCGTAAATCGACCGTAGCGTTCCAGCTTTTCACCTGCGCCCATGTCCAGCAGCCGGTAGTCCTTCCATCCCTTTGTTTCCAGAATGACGGGCCAGGTCTGGTCGGGTGGTTTTCCGAATGGGGAAAAGGAAGGGGCGTTGGTCTTGTCCGCCACGATGATCTCTCGTTGGTTCGATTGTTCGAGTGTCTTCTCGCCTTAGTCGTCCTGCGCGGCAAGGTCAATGTTCAGCCCGAAGTGGTGAACGAAAAAGGGCGGAGTGCCTGGCACTCCGCCCTGTTGAACCGATGCGGTTCCCGGTCAGGCCGCGGCAACTTCCGATAGGAAGTGCTCGACTTCCTGCTTCAACTGGTCGGTTTTTTCCGTCAGTTCGCCGGATGCCGACAGGACCATGTCCGCGGACGAGGAGGTCTGATCGACAGCCTGGGAGAGCTGTGTCATGGATGATGTGACCGCGCCGGTGCCTTCCGCGGCACGTTGCACGTTCTGTGAAATTTCCGCCGTCGCGGCTCCCTGTTGCTCGACGGCGGATGCGATCGCCGTCGTGTAGCTGTTGACTTCGTTCATCGTTTCGGTGATTTCACCGATGGCAACTACCGATTCCTTGGTCGCGTTCTGGATTTCGGTGATCTGCGAGCTGATTTCCTCTGTGGCCTTCGAGGTCTGTGTCGCCAGTTCCTTGACCTCGGCAGCGACGACCGCAAAGCCCTTGCCCGCTTCACCTGCACGTGCGGCCTCGATGGTCGCGTTGAGGGCAAGAAGGTTGGTCTGCTCGGCAATTGCCTGAATCAGCGTGACGACCTCGCCGATCTTCGTTGCCGCTTCTGCAAGTCCTTCAACCTTTTCGTTCGTCACCTGTGTGCCCGTCGTTGCCCGGTCCACGATCTCGGTGGTCTGAGCGACCTGGCGGGAGATTTCACCGATGGAAGCGGCGAGTTCCTCCGCCGCGCTTGCGACCGTCTGTACGTTGTTCGTCGTTTCGTTCGACGAGGCCTGGGTCTCGGTGGCATAACCGGCACTGTCGCGCGCGATCTCCGTCAGGGCCTGTGCAGTCGTGTCGAGGCTGCCTGCGGTGGTCGCAACGGATCCGAGGGCGTCTTCGGCAGTTGCGCGGAAACTGTTGATCAGATCGTCGACCCGCTGCTGACGTTCGTGCCGCGAGGCTTCTTCCTGTGCGTTCTGTACCTGCAGCTCCGCGCGTTCAATGGCGTTGTCACGGAAGACCTGAACGGTGCGGCTCATGTTGCCGATTTCGTCGCCACGGTCGATACCCGGGATATCAACTTCGTTGTCGCCGTTCGCAAGACGATCCATGACATTCGTGATCGTCTGGATCGGTCGCGTAATCGCCATGTTCAGAACGAAGGCCAGGCCGACACCACCGAGAATGGCAAGCAGAATCGTCATGATGATCTGCATCTCGGCAGCTCCGGCTGCGGAATTGGCGGCCTGGGACTGAGCGTTGGAGATTGCCGCGATATCAGCGCTCATCTTTCTGGTCAGATTGTCCAGCTGCTGGCGTTTCACAATCAGCTCGGACTTGGCGGACAGCATTTCCTTGAAGGACCGGTCGAGTGTTGCAATCGACGTCGCGATCCCCTCGATCGCTTCTGCCGCAGCAGGCAGAACATTGGCATACTTGACCAGACTTTCCTCAAGTTTAGCGAGCGAGGCGATCTGGTGTTCGACCTCTGTTGTGTCATCCGCGCCAAACGCGCCGAAGAGGTACAAGAGTTCAGCGCGAGCTGTCTGGGCATTCTGGTTGAGTGATTTCGCCTTGTCGGAAATAGAGCGGATCGTTGCCAGTCTCGTGGAGGCTGACAGAGCATCGGTTTTCGCCTTGTCGACCACAGGGGCCACCTGCTTCAAAACTTCCACCGTTTGGGCATTCATGCCCTCGATGCCTTCGCCAACCGCGAGTCGGGCTTCGTAAGCTTCTGAAAAGCCGAGGTCCTTGGTGAGATTTTCGAGTGCACCAAGTAGATTTTTCGTTTGACCGGCAAGCTGGGCCAGTGCCTTCGGGTCCATGCCCTCGACCTGCTTGTAGCGCATCTGCTTGGCAGAGGAGACCAGGCCGCGTGCAATATGAATCGAGTTTTCCAGGGCTTCACCCTGAAGATTGCCGCTGCCTTCCAGATACATGAGCTGGACCTGGATTACTCCGTCCTTGAGTTCGAAGATACCGCGTTGAATTTGAGAAGCGTCATCCAGGCGACTGTCGGCGGAGAAAGCTTCCGCGCTGACGCGTTTTTCTTCGGTCGCGACCGCATCACTGATGTTGAAAGCCAGTTTTCCGAGATCGGACGTGCTGTCTTGCAGCGTCGCAAGACGCAAGGCCTGCTGGTTTGTCTGGTCGACAACCTGATCGAATGTCGTCCCGAATACGGCGACAGCTTCCTTGGCTCCGCTGACCTGGTCTTCCGCTTCCGGGTTTCCGGCAACTTCGTGTTCGAGTCTTTGAAGTGCGGTATCAATGCTGGCGATCTCCGGGTGGACCGCGTCGCTCAGTTCCGGTGCCGGATTGTTCAGATAGTCTTCTCTTTTAAGGGAAGTCGACTGAACCCGGCCGGCGACCTGGGCCGCATGGTCGGCAACGACAAAGCTGGACGAAAGGTTCTGGATGGCCACAAACCCGACGGCTCCAACCATCGCGGTCAGCAGCAGCACTGCAAAAAAACCACCACCGACCTTAAATCCGAATTTAAGGTCGACCAAAGTCTTCAATATACGTTTCATTCGATCCCCGCGCGGCTGTAGGAACAGCATTACCCGTTGTCAGTATTCGCAGGAGCAATGAATATTGGGTAAACTAGGGTACGGGTTGGATATATTGCACAAAAATAGTGCAATCCAAGTATATTGGATACGATATTCAGGTTGCCGAAATAAATTTATCGAATTTATTTATTGGATAGCTGACGTAGAGTTCAAACATGTTGTCCGCCGTTGATGTGGATCTCGGCGCCTGTAACATAAGAAGAGTTATTCGAGCATAGATAGAAGATCGTATCCGCGACTTCTTCAGGTAGCCCCAGGCGCCGCAGCGGTATGTCAGCAACGAGTTTTTCCGTTCCAGGTGAAAGGATCGACGTGTCGATCTCTCCCGGTGCGATCGCATTGACGCGTATGCCATGCGGTCCGAAGTCAGCTGCCATCTCGCGGGTGAGGGAGGCCAGGGCGGCTTTCGAGGTTGCATAGGCCGTCCCGGCAAAGGGATGCACATGCATGCCGGCAATCGACGTTACGTTCACAACGGAACCTTTCGCGGCTTTCATTTCCTCAAAAAGTCCCCTTCCCAGGAGAATAGGGCCGAAGAAGTTGACCTGAAAGACCGTTCGCCATTCGTGCATTGCGGTATTAAGAGAATTGAGGCGCTGACCTTCCGGACCCTTGGGGCTGATACCGGCATTGTTGACCAGTGCATTCAGTCGCGATCCGTTCGCTTCCAGCCGCTTGCGGATCTCCTGGACTGCATATCCCAGGTTTTCGGGATCTGACAGGTCCACTTGAATGTGATCCTCTGGTCCCATGGGCCAGGGACACTTGTCTGAAAAAGCTTGCCGGGAACAGGTGATCACTCGCCAGTTCTCCGCTGAAAACCGTTTCACGGTTGCATGACCGATGCCACGGCTGGCACCAGTCAACACAAGTGTGGGGCGGGTGTCGGAGGTGTCCTTGCCGCTCATGTAAGATCCTTGCCAGATTACGAGGGATGCAGAAAAAGTTGACTCTTATAGTAGGGTTTCGTTAGTGCGCATTAAACCCACAATGCCAATATGACCGGGCAAACGGATCCTGACCGAACCCTACAATGATCATATGCTCCTGTAATGTTCTTTCTGACGAGCAGCTCCGAAAAGCTGCAGAGGAAATGCGCGCCGATCCCAACGGGAAAGTGCCGACACCTGGAGCTGTCTTTCGCCATCTGGGTTGCCGGCCGCGATGTGGGGGTTGTTTTCCGTCGGTTATTGACACCATTCACGATAAGGGGTCAGAAGAGGCAAGGGAAACTGAACCGGCACCCGCGCCTTTGAAACGAACGGCGAGCCGGTGATCTGGAGAGGGTCTGATGAAGGGTGAACCGCAAGTAATCGATTATCTGAACAAGGCTTTGCGGCATGAGTTGACCGCGGTCAGCCAGTACTGGGTCCATGCGCGCCTTCTTGCGGACTGGGGCTTCGGCAAGCTCGCCGACAAGGAACTGGAAGAAGCAGACGAGGAGCGTCAGCACGCCCAGGATCTGATGGATCGGATTATCTTTCTGGAAGGGCTGCCCAACCTGCAGACACTCGATCCGCTGCGTATCGGTCAAAATGTCAAGGAATGCCTGGAAGGTGATCTTGCGGCAGAATATGTCGCCCGCGCTCTCTATCATGAAGCACGCGAAATCTGTCGCGACCTCGGGGACTACGTGTCCATGGCGTTGTTTGAAAAACTCCTCAGCGATGAAGAAAGTCATATCGATTATCTGGAGACCCAGCTCGACCTTATCGAGCGGATCGGCATCGACAACTATTCTCTCCTGCAGGCGAAATCGGCTGACCAGGCCGAATAGGGCCTCAACGTTTCGCGATCGAGATTTGCGGCTGCTGCACCTTGGAGCAGCCGTTGTTGTTTTTGTGGTTGTCCAGAAAATGAACCAATCCGCCGGCCGCAAGCGCATCCTCTTCATCGTGGGTGACCAGGAGCACCGGCAGGTCATTCTTCCTGGCCTGACAGAACACCAGCTCCCGCACTTCTGCCCGACGGGTCTGGTCGAGACTTGAGAACGGTTCGTCAAGCAGTAAAGCCATCGGTTGGGCCAACAGGGTTCTCATCAGCGCAACACGTGTCTGCTGCCCTCCGGAGAGTGTTGCCGGATCCCTGTCTCCAAATCCGTTCAGCCCCACATCTTCGAGCGCCTGCCGCGCGATTTCCTTCCTGTGCTGGCGTCCCCTGACCCTGGCGGGTATTGCGAACATGAGGTTTTGCATCACCGACATGTGGGGAAAGAGCAAGGGAGATTGAAACATTAGCCCGATGTGCCGTTCCTGGGCAGGCAGATCAGTCAGGTTCTTGCCATTGAGGAAAATTCGCCCTTCGGCATGAAGAGCCGGCTTTAAAAATCCTGCGATGAAATCCAGCAGGCTGGACTTGCCGCTGCCGCTTTCACCCATTATTGTCAGGATATTCCCAGGCGGAATGTGACAATCGATGTCAAGCAGCGGTGCGCCGTCAACATGGATGCTGACAGCTTCCAGGGTCAGACCCGCGCGGTCTAGTGCTTCAGGCATTCAGAACTACCTTTCCAACCGCATGGCGGCACGATTTCGGAACACCAGCGATGGCAGCAGCGCTGCAAGGACAAATCCTGACAGCGGTATGACCAGTTGCAAGAGAGCATATAGAGCGGCAACCTGGCGATTGCCGCCGCTTGCCAGCGCGACACTCTCCGTCGTCACGGTAACGACACGTCCTGCACCGATCATCAGCGTCGGCAGGTATTGGCCGACGGAAACGGCTGCGGCAACCGCAAAAGTCACCAGCACCGGGCGCAGAAGCAACGGCAGCTGCACCTGCCAGAAAATACGAGCCCGCGAAGCGCCGATGGAGGCTGCTGCCTTTGCATACTGCGGGTCGAGCCGGTTCCAGGGATCGCTGAGCGCAAGAAACGCATAAGGGAAAACGAATATCAGGTGCGCAAGCAGGACCGCTTCCATCGTGCCGCTGAGGTCAGCGACCAGAAATAGTGTCTGCAAACCGAAAAGGAAGCTGATCTGCGGCAGAAGCAGGGGCAGAAAGATGTAAGTGTTCAGCCAGCCGTGTCTTGGTTTCTTGCGAAAACCGCGTCCCTCGAGCACCCAAAGGGTCAGGGCGGTCGCAATACCGGCGGCAGATATCGCAAGCAACAGGGTTGCCAGCAGGGCAGGGCCACCCGTGCCGAAAGAATCCATCATCCTCGCAAGGCTCCAGCGCTGCGGCAGAACAGCTGGAAACCACCAGGATTTCGCCGTCGTCCAGACCACAAGCAGAACGATGGAGACAGTCATGAGTGCAACGATGATCGACATCGCCCAAAGACCCGCCTGCCGAGCTGCAGCGTCCTGCCGTCGCCGGTGGCCACTTTCAAAGCGCGACTTCAGCCAAAGCGTCACGCCACGCTCCAGAAGCAGGTAGACAATCAGCGAGACCCCGCTGACGAAGAGCTGGAGAAGCGCACCTGCGGATGCCATCAGCCTTTTGCTCAGGTCCGGATCGTTCATCCAGACGATCAGTCGAGGCGCCAGCGGTGGTGGGGTCGTCGGTCCAAGGAGCTGCGCCACGTCGACCACGGAAGTCGCATAGGCGATGACTGCCAGCATGGGAAGGCGGATAAGCGGATAGATCTGTGGCAATATCACCTTGATGAACGTGCTCATCCGGCCATACCCGAGGCTCGCCCCGGACTTGTAGAAGTCGCGGATATGCGGCCTGTTCAAGGCTGCAAGTGTCATCAGGAAGAGGAAGGGAACTTCCTTTGCAACCAGCCCCAGTGTCATTGCGATACCGGCCTGGTCATTCAGGATCAGGAGATCGGGCGGGCGCGTCCAGCCGGTTGCCCAGGGCGATAAAAGACGTACGAGAAACCCGGAGGGGGCAATGAGAAAGGCGAGCCCGATTGCTGCCGCAGCATGCGGCACAGACAGCAAGGGTGACAGAAATCGGGTCAGCCGCGCGAAGGTCCTGGTTCCCGACCAGCCGGCGGTAAACAACAGCACGATTGCCAATGAAAGGATCGACGCAACAAGCCCCGTACCGAAACTCAACAAAATGGAAATCTGAATACCCGGCATGTTGAACAGGGCACGAAAAGGTTCAATTGAAAAAGTGCGATAGCCGAGAACCGGCAGATAGCCGAAAGCGGGCAGGATCGTACCGGCGAGACCGGCAAGAACCGGTCCTGCGAGCAGGATCGTAACGAGAACGGTTGCAATGTCCGGTCTGCCGGTTGATTTGGGCAAGGGCCCTCACTCGCTCCCTGAACCGTATCGCTCCGTCCAGGCCTCTTCCAACGCGCTCACCCAGCTCGGGTGCGGTTCCGGCAGAACCGGGCCAAGGTCTTCCGGCGCCAGGGTTGCGGGGCCAAGATCCTGGGATGTGAAAAGCGCCCGTTCATTCGCCGGCAGTGCGTCGACATTCAGAACAGTCCGATCTCCCCAGATTTCAGGCTCCTGTTTCCGTGTCTGGGCCATGGGGCTCAACAGAAAGTTCGCGTAGACCTTCGCCCCCGCCTGGTTGGAGCTGTTGAAGGGAATGGCGACGAAATGAGTGTTGCCGATTGTGCCGCCGTCGAAAACGAAGGTGCGCACGCTATCCGGCAGTTCGCCGTTCGCGATTGCGCCTGATGCATCCCCGGGATTGAATGAAAACGCTATGTCCAGTTCGCTGTCTGCCAGAAGCTGGCGCATGTCGGCGGCATTCTTGGGAAAAGCCCTGCCCTTGCGCCACAAATGCGGATGAAGCTCATCCAGATAGGCGAACAGGGGTGCAACGATTTCGTCGAAACCTGCATCGTCGACCGGTTCGGACAGTACGGTCTTGTCGGGGACCGTATTGACGAGGGCCTGTTTCAGGAAGGTCGTGCCGTAGAAAGTGGGCGGCTGGGGATAGGAGAACCGGCCCGGATTGTCCCTGGCAAAATCCATCAACTCCCGAAGGGTCGACGGCGGCGTGTCCAGCCGCGCGCTGTCATACATGAAAACGAGCTTCGCCATTCCCCAGGGGCTTTCCTGCCCGTCGGTCGGCACGGTGAAGTCAACGACCACCGTCGGCTTGTTTTCGACGTCCACATATTGCCAGTTGGGGAGCGTTTGCGCCCAGCCGGGCGCCGCAAGCAGACCATTCGTTTTCATGGAGGCGAAGTTCTCGCCGTTGATCCAGATGAGGTCGACGGCACCGCCGGGTGCCTTTCCGACCGACTTTTCCGCCAGAACCTGCGACACGACGCTCGCCGTGTCACTGATTTTCACATGAACCACGCGAACGCCATAATCGCGCTCCACTTCACGGGCTGCCCACAGGATATAGGCATTGATGCGCGGGTCACCGCCCCATGCGTGGAAATAGACGGTCTCACCCTTTGCATCATCGAGAATCGTCTGCCAGTCCTGCCCCTGAGCGTTCACTGAAAAAGTGGCCAATAACATCGCGAAAGTGCCTGTTCCGGCAGCAAGCAGTCGGTTCATCCTGGTCCTCGATTCAAGACATGATCTGTGACCGTCCCATCGCGCAGGCTGTGTGACACGGTCAAGACAACGCTTCGTGAATGAAATATGCACACCCTGTTCATCAGGTCGGGGCGGTCGCCCGCCAACAGGCGCAGGTCTGGGCGAGTCAGGTCCCGCGACGCTTGGCTCGCCGGGTCGCGTCGGCCAGGGTAGGATCATCTGGCCACGGGTGCTTCGGATAGCGTCCCTTCATGTCAGCCTTCACGTCTTTCCAGGAGCCCGCCCAGAATCCCGGAAGATCCCTTGTGATCTGGATCGGCCGTTGCGCAGGTGACAGCAATTCCAGGATCAGCGGAAGCTTGCCGTCGCAGACGCTTGGATGAATTGTCAGTCCAAAGAGTTCCTGGACACGGATCGAAAGCGACGGGCCGGCGGCAGCGCCATAGTCTATCGAAACCTTGCTGCCCGTTGGCGCAGTGAAGTGGGAGGGTGCGAGCGCATCGAGTTTCGCGGCAGCATCAAAGGGCAGGAGGCCTGCAAGTGCGTTGCCGAGGAGAGCGGCATTCACACTTGCGAGACTTGTCAGGCCAGACAGATAGGGTTGCAACCAGTCATCAAGCGTGCCGGTCAGGTGTTGATCGGAAAGGTCGGGCAGGTCATCCGCGCCGTTTTCACGAGAGTATGCGACCCGCTTGCGCAGCCGTTGCTGGTCCTTGCTCCACGGCAAACGGGACGTCCCTCTGCGCCTGATCTCATTGATCAGGGCTCTTTCGACCGCAGCGGGATCTGCCGACCTGATTGATGTCGACTGAAGTTCCACGGCCTTGTAGCGGACGACACGGCGGGCCTTGAGAGCACCTTCTCCGGTTAGCTGGACCTCGTCCTCCTCAACGATGTCACCGGCAAAGAGCGCTTCGATCTCACCCCGTGTGATGGGAGCGCAAAGCTGGACCCGGCCATTCGCCGCCTTTCCCTGTACTTCCGCAATCGCCAGGAATTCAGCGTCTGCGAGCGCGTTTTCGCGCTCCAGTTCCGCGCCTCGGCCATTGGCGAGACGGAATCTTCCGATCTGGCCACGCGCCTGGGCGACACGGTCCGGATAGGCGAGGGCCAGCAATATTCCTGCGCTTTCGATTTCAACTCCGGTGCCATTGCCACCGGCCTGTTTGAGCCACCTTGAAGCAAGCGCGCGGCCATCCTTTGCACGTTGGCTCTTTTCGTTCCGGACAGCCCGCAAGCGTGCGCGCAGATCCGGGTCACGGCCACCGAGACCGGGTTCGGACAGGAGCAGTGCGATCAGGGCTGCGGTATATCCGAGACCCCGATCGGCACCTTCAATCACCATGTGCGCAAGGCGGGGGTGCAGCGGCAGACTGGAGAGCGCTTTTCCCTGCCTCGTCAGATGACCGGCCGCATCGAGCGCACCGAGATCCGTCAGGAGTGATTTGGCCTCTTTCCAGGCGGCTGAGGGAGGCGGGTCGGCGAAAGTGAGGCTTGTCGGGTCGAGCGTGCCCCAGGTCGCCAGATCCAGAACGAGACCTGTGAGATCCGCTTCGAGGATTTCAGGTGCTTCGGCTGCAGGGAGGGCGACAGTCTGAGCTTCGTCCCAAAGCCGATAGCAAACGCCGGGTTCCGTCCGTCCCGCGCGGCCTCTTCGCTGGTCTGCGGAGGCACGCGATACACGCACTGTTTCAAGCCGGGTGAGGCCCGTTTGCGGTTCGAATTTTGGAACGCGTGCTAGACCGCAATCGATGACAACGCACACGCCTTCGATGGTCAGGGATGTCTGAGCGATCGAACTGGCAAGCACGATCTTCCGGGTGCCGTCTTCTGCCGGTCTGATGGCGGCGTCCTGCGCTTTTGCGTCGAGACCGCCGTAGAGGGGTGCAACCTGGCAATTGGCGGGCAATCGGCCGGAGAGAAGGTCGGCCGTGCGCCTGATCTCGCCCTGGCCCGGCAGAAACACAAGCAGCGAGCCAGTCTCCTCACTGACAGCCTGCCGGACGGCGCGCACGGCCTGCGGTTCGATCCGGTCCTTCGGATCACGTCCGAGATATTTCGTTTCGACCGGAAAACTGCGTCCCTGACATTCCAGAACGGGAGCATCGCCAAGCAGTTTCGAAATACTTGCAGCATCCAGTGTTGCGGACATCGGGAGAAGCCGCAGGTCTTCCCGCAAGGCGGACTGAACATCAAGCGCGAGAGCAAGCCCGAGATCGCCATCAAGGGACCGTTCATGAAACTCGTCGAACAGGATGGCCGCAATCCCGGAAAGCTCGGGATCGTCGAGTATGAGGCGCGTGAACACCCCCTCCGTAATGACCTCGATACGTGTCCTGGAACTGACCCTGGTCTCCATGCGCACACGGTAGCCGACGGTTTCGCCGGGCTTTTCGCCAAGTTCGCTCGCCATTCGGCGTGCGGCTGCACGGGCGGCGAGCCGGCGTGGTTCCAGCACCAGGATCTTGCCGTCCTTTCGCCATTTGGCATCAAGCAGGGCAAGCGGGACGCGCGTTGTTTTGCCTGCGCCGGGTTCGGCCACGAGAACCGCAGTGGTGCCGGCATCCAGCGTCCTGAGCAGGTCCGGCAGAACGCCGTCAATGGGAAGTGCTGTTCCAAAGGCGCTGCGCACGGGCATTTCCGCCGGTTCAGCCCGTCGCGGCGACGCGGCCGGACGTCCACTGGCGCCCGTGCATGTCAACCGCAAAGGTGTCTGGCGACCGGGCAAAGGAGGCAAGACCTTCCAGGGCCGGATCCGGGTGTCGGACGATGAAAGTCGGGATTTTGGCCATGAGGGTCTCATGGGGTGCTTTCGCCTCGAAGGCGGCCCGGAAACCGTCATCGGTCAGGAAACGTGTGATCCTCGGCGTTATGCCGCCGGTGAGATAAACTCCGCCCCGGGCAAGAACGGTCAATGCGAAGTCGCCTGCCACGCGACCGAGGCATCGTGCAAACACTTCCAGTGTCTTCACGGCAATCGGGTCGTTGTCGTCCGCAGCCTGGGTGATACTTGCCGGTGTCTCGAACCGGCGCTCGGCATTCATCCAGACTGCGACGGCCCGCGCAAGACGGGGCAGTCCTGTTCCACTGAGGAGTTGTTCAGCGCCTATGCGTCCGCCGACCTGCTCGATATGCGGCCAGATATCCATGTCTTCCCGGGTCACGGGGCCAAGTTCCACATGACCGCCTTCGCCAGGTACCGGAACCCAGGTATCGGACGCAAAGATCATGGCTGCCGCCCCAAGACCGGTTCCCGGCCCCAGCACGAATTTCGCGCTGTCTTTGCGAACGGCGCCCTTTCCGACCTGTTCGACATCCGTGCCGCTGTAGCCTGGCAAAGCGAGCGCTTGCGCTTCGAAGTCATTCAAGACAATGACCTCATCCAGCCCGAGGTCGGCGATCATCTTCAGGGGTTCGATAACCCAGGCAGCGTTGGTGAGCGGTATTGCATCGCCCGTAACCGGCCCGGCAACAGCTATGATCGCTGTTCTGGGTTTGATTTCAGTTTCGGGCAGGACAACCTGGCGGACGGCGGACGAGATATCGGAATGCCCAGCCGTCGCGGTCTTGCCACACATGCGGGTCGGTGCGTTGGCGTGGTCGACCAGCGCAAAGCGAGCGTTGGTTCCGCCGATATCGGCAACCAGAACCGGATAGGCAAATGATTTGGAATGATCGGAAAAACTCATGATGCAGTCGAACCAACCTCGGGCGTATCTGACGTTGTACCAAGCCCCTTCAATCGCGCGGACCGCAGGAGTATTTCCGCAGTGGATACGTTCAGCGCCATCGGAATATCGTAAACGATTGCAAGGCGCATCAAGGCTTTGACATCTACATCGTGCGGCAGGGGTGACATGGGATCAGCGAAAAAGATCAGCCCCTGCAGCTTTCCCTCCGCGATCAGGGCGCCGATCTGCTGGTCGCCACCCAGCGGCCCGCTCTTGAGGCGGGTGAGGGAGAGTTCCGGGCAGGCATCCAGGACGCGTCCTCCCGTGGTCCCGGTTCCGACCAGATCATATGCTGCCAGTTTGTCCCGATGGCCCCTGGCGAACTCAACCATAACGTCTTTCTTGGCGTCATGGGCGATAAGCGCGAGCGTGGGTATTTCGGACATGCAGATCCTCATTGCGATATGACAGACGGCGGGTTGGTATTAGCCGCAAAGACACGTCAGCGCAAAGGGCGATGTGCAAAAGACGATGTGAAATCACCGAACCGGTTCAGTCGGACGGTGCTGTCGCCGGCCGCCAGAAACAAAAAAACCGTGTTCCAAGCCGGAACACGGTCAATCAAAGAAAGAAACGTGGCCCGGTCAGTCGAAAAGGTTGCATCGCACGGGTTCACGGGCCGAAACACGCTGGAAATAGGGGTCGGGTTCATTCAGGTGCAGTCCGGCGATTTCGAGGACGAGTTTCATGCGGATAGCATCTGCAAATCCTTCCTTGGAGCGAACGGGAATTGCAAATGAACCCGGTCCACCGATCACGCAATCCTCGTAGTAGTGATCAAGATTGAGCATCGCCTGCCAGGTGTTCTTGTTCGACTTCATCATCAGGGGAAGCCCGTTTATGGTCACGCCCGAGGCAATCATCCGGTCGCGCATTTCCGTAACCGAGCCTCCCTGGTTGTTCGGCCCGTCGCCGGATATGTCGATCACGCGCCGCAGGCCCATGTACTTGTTGTTCTCAACCAGTTCGACCGATTTCTGCAGGGCGGATGCAATCGATGTGCGCTGCACCTGGCGCAGCGGAGCTTCGGCGATTTTGGAAGCGAAATGGGACGCAGACGCGGCGTCCTGAACGATTGTCCAATTGGCGACGATGAAATGTTCGTCGACACCGCCCCATTCCATGTAGGTGACGGCGACACGGCCGATCGGGCCAACCTGGATTGCGTCGAGAAATTCCCTCGAAGTCAGGGCCGAAACGTAACCGGCGCGCTGAATTTCCTGCTCTTCAGTATCCATGGATTGTGAGATGTCGACGGCCAGGACGAGTTCGACGTCCACTTCGTTGGCCGGATCGTAGGTGTATTGCGCGGCGGCAGCCAGTGCCGGCCGGTAGTCCCGGGCTTGCGTGGGGGCGGTACTCACAAAGGCCGCACCTAATAGGGACAGTATTGTTGCTACTGCAAGTGCACAGTCTTTCGTTATGTCGAGACGCATGGTTTTCTCCTTTTCAGCCTTTCGGCTGAGGTGCCACGTCTCCCCAGTTTTTATTTTATTGTTCTGTTACTCGTCTTTTTGATCCTTGTGATTTCTACGCAGGCATCAGAAATGCCATGAAATAGTCTGAGATTTTACTTTGCAAACTACGTGCCAAGGGTACCGGAATTCAATTTATCTGGCAAAATCAAATGTGCACGGAGTGCGTATATTCCACAGATAGGAAATATCTGCCGGATTGCTAGGCAATTATTGCCTATTTGGGTCACGATTCTGACATCAACCGGCAAAAATTGCCGTGCCGCCAGGTTGCCAATGTGGACCATGCCTGCCGTGAAATGCAGCAAAATGCCCAAAATTCGGACGTTTTGTGGGTTGACGGATAGGCCCTTGCTGGGCATGATCTGAAGAAATTCTCACTAGATGAAGAATTTTTCAGCGCATATAGCGAACTATGCGCGACAATGAAAAGCTCCACCAAGGAGCGGTGTATCGTTGGTCGGAGCCGCATCGGCTGCGCCAACCAGAGGGGAAGGTGCTGACGCAGTATGCAGACGCGCGAAGACGACTGGACATCTTACATGGCCATCCGGGCGGCCTGGCTGTCATTCGTGGGCGGCCGCACGCAAGGTGAGATCGCATCCCAATTGGGTGTGTCCCCGGCCAAGGTGCATCGTCTCATTGCCCACGCCCAAAAGGCAGGTTACGTGAAGTTCCAGGTTGACGGCAGGCCAATGGAATGTCTGCAGCTGGAAAAGGAACTTTCTCACTATTTCAGCCTGACCAACTGCATCATAGCACCCGATCTCGGCGGCGGAGATGATGAAGCTGTCCTGCGTGCGATTGCGGTTTCAGCGTCGCAGTTTCTCACTGGCCTGCTAACGGGTGCACACGTCACACGGTTGGGTGTCGGCATGGGTCGGACATTGACGGCGGCGGTTGAATCGCTGCCGAAGACGGCGCGGTCCGATCTCGAAATCATGTCGATCTGTGGATCGCTCACCCGCACTCTTGCTGCCAACCCATATGACATCGTCCAGAAAATGCAGGAGAGAACCGGCGGCATCGGTTATTACCTTCCTGTTCCCTATTTTGCGGAGAACCTGGACGAGAAGGCGATGTTCCTGACACAGCGGAGCGTGCAGGACCTGATGGCGCGCGCGCGCCAGTCCGATGCGTTTCTCATTGGCATCGGTTCGGTTGAGAATGAGGGGCATCTGGTTCAGCGCGGCATGATTTCAAAGCAGGAACAGGAAGAATTGATGTCTTGCGGGGCGGTCTGTGATTTGATGGGCCGCTTTTTGACGATTGAAGGAGAACTGGCTCCCGATCCGCTCGGCGATTGTGCCGTCGGTCTGCACTTTGACGAAGTGCGCGGGCGCCGCGTGATTGCGCTGGTGGGTGGCGAGAGCAAGGTGGATGCCACGCTTGCTGCACTACGTACCGGTGTCATTACCGATCTGGTGGCAGACGAGACCCTCGCGAGGGCTCTGAGTTCGCGGGTCGGATTGCAACTGGCACAGTCCGCATGAAGCGGCTGGGTCACGAGGGGAAACGGGCCGGTCAGATAAGACAGGCCCCCGCATGTCGGAGGACATATACGTGAAAAAGTTTCTAACCATCGGCACGGCGCTTGCCGGACTGGCCTTTTCCATCGCGAGTGCACAAGCAGCCGATATCAAGCCCGCCGTGCTTTACGATCTGGGCGGTCGGAATGACGAATCGTTCAACCAGGCAGCTTTCACCGGAGCCGAGAAGTTCAAGGCCGACTACGGCGTTGAATTCCGTGATTTCGAAATTCAGAACGACGCTCAGCGTGAACAGGCTTTGCGCAACTTTGCCAAGCGCGGCATGAACCCGATCGTGGCTATCGGATTCTCACAGGCCAATGCGGTTGAGAAGGTTGCAAAGGAATTCCCCGATACCCAGTTCGCGATTGTCGACATGGTCGTCGATCTGCCGAACGTCCGCTCGATCCTGTTCAAGGAACATGAAGGGTCCTACATCGTCGGCATGCTTGCCGCGATGGCTTCCGAAACCGGGAAGGTCGGGTTTGTCGGGGGGATGGACATTCCATTGATCCGCAAGTTCGCCTGCGGCTACAAGCAGGGCGTAATGGCCGTGCAGTCGGATGCGGAAGTGTTTGAAAACATGACCGGCACAACCGGCGCCGCCTGGAACGATCCGGTCAAGGGCGGAGAGTTGGCCAAGTCGCAGTTCGATCGTGGCGCGGATGTTGTCTACCACGCGGCAGGCGGCACCGGCATTGGTGTTCTCCAGGCTGCAGCCGACGCAGGTAAACTCGGCATCGGCGTCGACAGCAATCAGAACGGCCTGCACCCGGGATCCGTGCTGACATCCATGCTGAAGCGTGTCGACATCGCCGTCTTCCAGGCGTTTGAAGATGCCAAGAACGATAACTGGTCTTCCGGTTTCGAGGTTCTCGGCCTGCAGGAAGGTGGCGTTGACTGGGCACTCGACGCCAACAACGCGGAACTCGTTAACGACGAGATGAAGGCGGCCGTCGAAGAAGCCACCCAGAAAATCATCTCCGGCGAAGTTGTTGTCCATGACTACATGGCCGATGAATCCTGCCCGGGCTAAGTGACGGCCAGACCACTGCAGCCTCCGCGCAAGGGCGCGGAGGTTTCCCATAATATGTTCTAGCCAGTTGGGGGACCGGATGTTCCGTCTCAGCTCAAGCGCCTGCGCAGCGATATTCGTTGCCGCGCTCTCTGCCACGGCTGCCTGCGCCGACCCGGCCATCGTCTACTCCGTTGGTGGTAAGTTCGACGGCTCATTCAACGAGAGCGCCTTTGCCGGCGTGAAACGGTACATGGAAGAGACCGGCGAGAATGTCAGGGAATTCGAACTGGAACGCGACGCCCAAAGTCTGCAGGCGTTGCGCAATTTTGCAAGCAGGGGCAACGCACCTGTCATCGCGATAGGCTTCAACCAGGCCAACGCCCTGAAGCAGGCGGCGGAGGCTTTTCCAAATTCCGACTTTGCGATCGTCGACATGGTGGTCGATCAGCCTAACGTGCGTTCCTATGTCTTCAAGGAGCACGAAGGTGCCTATATCGGCGGCCTGCTCGCCGCGATGGCTTCGGAGTCTGGCACTGTCGGGTTTGTCGGGGGCATGGACATCCCGATCATTCAGAGATTTCTCTGCGGCTACAAACAGGGTGCCTTGTCGGCCGACCCTGACATCAAGGTGCTGTTCAACATGACCGGCGACACGCCTGCCGCGTTTGCCAATCCGGTTCGTGGAGGCGAATTGGCAACTGCTCAGATCAAACGTGGTGCTGATGTGGTGCTTCAGGCAGCGGGTGGCACCGGGCTTGGCGTGTTGCAGGCTGCCGCGGATGCGGGCGTGCTGGGCATCGGGACGGATAGCAACCAGAATGGACTGCACAAGGGCAAGGTTCTGACGTCGATCCGCAAACGCGTCGACAACGCCGTGTTTGACAGCTTCAATTCTGCCCGGGAAGGCTCGTTTTCGCCGGGTATTCAAGTCCTTGGCCTTGCGGAAGGTGGTATGGACTGGGTTCTGGACGAGAACAACAGGCCATTGATTTCCGATGAAATGAAAACTGCGGCCGATGCGGCAGTTGCCGGAATATCAGACGGAACCATCAAGGTTCATGATGTCATCAGTGACGGAGTGTGCCCATACTGAGGTACGTTTGCGGCGATGGGCAAACAGAAATGAAAAGCAAACTACGTCGGGCCTGGGGGACGGCATGAGCGAAATTCCGGCAATTGAGCTGCGCAAGATCAACAAGAGTTTTGGACCGGTTCATGCCAACAAGGACATTGATCTTGTTGTGAAAAAAGGGTCCATCCACGGGATCATAGGAGAAAATGGCGCGGGCAAGTCGACGCTCATGTCAATTCTCTACGGGTTCTATCATGCTGATGACGGCGACATAATCATCAAAGGCAAGAAAGTGACGATCGCGGACTCCAAGGCCGCCATCGGCATGGGGATCGGCATGGTTCACCAGCATTTCATGCTGGTCGACAATTTTTCGGTTCTGGAAAACGTGGTTCTCGGCGCGGAGGACAGTGCGCTGCTGGCAGGCGGGCTGTCGCGTGCGCGCACCGAATTGAAGCGTCTGGACGAAGAATATGAGCTGCGCGTCGACCCGGAGGCCCTCATTCAGGATCTGCCCGTCGGTCTGCAGCAACGTGTTGAAATATTGAAAGCACTCTACCGCAGTGCCGAGGTTCTGATCCTTGACGAACCGACCGGTGTTCTCACACCGGCAGAGGCGGACCATCTGTTCAAGATCCTCGACGTTCTCAAGAATCAGGGAAAGACTGTCCTGTTGATTACGCACAAGCTGCGCGAAATCATGGCTGTCACCGACACGGTGTCCGTCATGCGCCGCGGCGAGATGGTGGCGACCAGGGAGACGGGGAATACCTCCATGGAAGAACTGGCCGAGTTGATGGTTGGCCGGTCGGTTCTGCTGCGTGTCGACAAGGAGCCGGCGCAACCGGAAGCGCCGGTCATGGAAGTTGAAAATCTCACGGTCACTGACAGCCGTGGTGTCCAGGTTGTCAAGGATGTGAGCCTTTCGGTCCGGGCCGGCGAAAGTGTCGGCATCGCCGGAGTGTCGGGCAATGGACAGTCCGAACTGCTGGAGACACTGTCCGGCATTCGCCGCGCCACAAGCGGAACGCTAAAAATCCATGGTGAAAGCATAGATCTTGGCACCAGCACACTGGATGCTGCGGACATGCGCAAGAAAAACATGGGCCACGTGCCGGAAGACCGGCACCGTATGGGCCTGATCAACAGCTTCACCGAATACGAGAATTCCATTCTTGGTTATCACCGCGACCCCGCCTATTCCCGGGGCTTGCTGATGGACCTGGCGGCGATCAAGAAAAACGCGGTCGCCGAGATCGAGAAATACGATATCCGGCCACCCAATCCGATGCTCAAGACGGCGAATTTCTCTGGTGGCAACCAGCAGAAAATTGTTCTGGCACGGGAGATAGAGCGGGACCCGGAGGTATTGTTGATCGGTCAGCCGACACGCGGTGTCGACATTGGTGCAATTGAGTTTATTCACCGGCGGATCGTTGAACTGCGCGATGCAGGCAAGGGCATTTTGCTTGTTTCGGTTGAACTCGACGAAATCCGTGCACTGTCGGACAGGGTTCTGGTGATGTTTGATGGCAAGATTGTCGGAGAGCGGGGGAGCAACGCTGATGAGGGCGAACTCGGCCTGCTCATGGCAGGTGTCGAAGACAATCGCATGACAGCTGAAGGAGGCGTCCAATGAGTGGCGGTCAACTTCCGCGCTGGGTCGATCTCGGCCTAATCCCCTTCCTGAATCTTTCAGCTGCCTTTCTGGTATCCGGACTGGTCGTTATCCTGATCGGGGAAAATCCGCTGGACGCCGTCAAGGTCCTCCTCTGGGGGTCGCTCGGTTATGCCGAGGGCTTCGGGTTCACGCTGTTTTATGCGACCAACTTCATCTTCACCGGCCTTGCCGTCGCGGTCGCCTTTCATGCAGGTCTGTTCAACATTGGCGGTGAAGGGCAGGCCTATGTCGGTGGCCTCGGGGTTGCGTTCGCCTGCCTGGCGCTCGACCAGTACGTACCCTGGTACGTGACATTGCCATTCGCGATCCTTGGATCGGCTGCGATGGGAGCAGCCTGGGCTTTCATTCCGGCCTGGTTGCAGGCCAAGCGCGGCAGCCACGTGGTTATCACCACCATCATGTTCAACTACATTTCATTTTCGTTCATGGTGTACCTGCTGGGCAATGTCCTGAAGAAGCCGGGCTCCATGCAGAACGAGACCCGGACTTTTGAAGATGGCGGCCGGCTGCCGTTTCTGAACGATGTTTTCCCGTCCTTCGGCTTCGGCTATGCGCCGGTGAACCTGTCCTTGTTCGTGGCCCTGGCTGCCTGTGTGGCCGTCTGGTTCCTGATCTGGCGCACGAAACTCGGTTATGAAATCAGGTCCTTCGGCGCCAACGCCACGGCTGCCGTCTATGCCGGGATTTCACCGGTGCGTATCATCGTTGTCACGATGCTGATATCCGGCGGTCTCGCGGGCATGATGGCAATCAACGAAATCATGGGCTCGCAACACCGGTTGTTGATCGATTTCGTCACCGGTTACGGCTTTGTCGGTATCGCGGTCGCTCTCATGGGGCGCGCCCATCCTGTCGGCATCATCCTGGCGGCCGTGCTGTTCGGCATGCTCTACCAGGGCGGCGCGGAACTCTCGTTTGAAATGCCGAACATCACCCGCGACATGATCATCGTCATCCAGGGTCTTGTCATTCTGTTTGCAGGGGCGCTTGAACACATGTTCCGGCCGGCGATCGTCAGGTTCTTCACGCCCTCCCAGGCCCTTGCTGCGAAGGAGGCGTGATCATGTTCGGTGCAGCTTTTGCCATCTGGCCCATGTGTTTTGGGTTTCAAACGGAGGGCGAGGGCGCAAAAAAAAAAACTTTTTAGGCATCAAAAAACAACTTATTCCTGAAGGTTAAAAAAACTGTGTAGGGGTCAAAAACAAACTATTCTCTTACATTTACTACTGAAAATGACAAGTCAGAGGATTAAACAAACTTGTCAGGAATCAATAAAACATGTCTTCATTTCGTGGCAGGCGCAGATTTCGTGGCAGGCGCAGCACTTTCGCAAGGTCAGGTACAGATTTCGCGGCAGGCGCAGCACTTTCGCAAGGTCAGGTGCAGATTTCGGAGAGAGAGAGAGAGAGAGAGAGAGAGAGAGAGAGAGAGAGAGAGAGAGAGAGAGAGAGAGAGAGAGAGAGAGAGAGAGAGAGAGAGAGAGAGACAGACAGAGAGAGACAGACAAAGAGAGACAGACAGACAGAGAGAGACAGACAGAAAGAGACAGACAGACAGAGAGAGAGAGACAGAGAGAGAGAGAGAGAGACAGACAGGAAGGAAGGAAGGAAGGAAGGCAGGAAGGAAGGGGCAGGAATAAAGAAGAAAGTGACGATTCACTAGGGTGCGTTAATGTCCGCAAACACGCGGGTGGGGGGGTGGCAGCCCCCAGAATATCTTTGTAAGTAGAAATGGTGGGGGGTTGTTGCCCCCATGATGATGGAAAAGTGATGCAACAAAGGGTGCGTTAATCTTTGTAAACATTCTAGAAATCAGCGGGGGGGGGGGGGGGGGGGGGGGGGCTGCCGCCCCCCAAGATGATGGAAGAAGTGATGATTCAACAAAGGGTGCATCCGCCGATTCGAAACCGATATTGGGAACCTCTACTAAGTTTGTTTATTGACCCCTAATAAGTTAGGTTAAATATATATATATATATAAATCCCTGATTTAAAAAAAAAAAAAAATCCCTGATATATTTTTGTTGATGCCTATCCCTCAAACAGACCCCTTTTGGAACATGCTGAAAGGAAAGACCGGTCTCTGGAACAAGATGGCTTCACTTGCTTTCTTTAGGATGGGTATCGCTGAACCCCCGCCCACGCCCTCTCCTCGTCCTCTTCCTCACTCTCATCGTCCTTTGCTTCATTGGCCGCAGTTTCGGGCTCTTCCACCTTCGCCTGACCGCGACCGAACATGTTGAAGGGCCCGAAACGTCAATGGAACAAGTCTTGGCAGGAACCTTCATCGGATGAGCCCCTGGTTTGGCAAATTACCCTAATTCACAAACCAGCACCTTCATCTTTGGGTGAGCCTGACAAGAGGAAGTGTGTGTCCGAAAGGACTGTCCGAAAGATCAAAAAGGCGGGGAACCCTCTTCCCCCCCACAAATCTTTTTGGCTCGTTGCTAGTCTGGTCCGGTTCGCGGGGAGATCGTTTTGCCAAAAAGGAGAAACTGTTGGTGGGTGGGTTCAGGCCAACTCGTCTATTGGCCAACCGTTGCGAAATCTGCGTTGAGCTTCGAAGGGCAACGTATTCCCGGGTTCCACGTCGAGAGGTACCAAAAAGCGACAAAAGCGCCGAAAGGTTTGCCCGGAAATCCTGCCGCAAAGGCAGTCCCTGGCTCGCTGCGGGGGTGTTGGCTTGGGTCGAGCTCATGCGGCATGGCGCCCTGGCAAACCACCTAGAGGTGGCTGTGATTCGCCAAGAATTCGTCCATAGGAGATGGTTCTAAAAGCGCGAGATGCCCAGCAAACCGCGCATGCCTGGAGCTTTGAGCAGCTTGCACCCCACCCTTGGAATGAAAGGCAGACTCGGTCGCCTGATTCTTCCTCTCCTTCTCTTTCTGCTTCTTCTTCTGCTTCGCTTTCTTCTTCTTCACCTGCAGGCTCTGCGCTGCCAACACCGTTTTGCCACACTAGCAAGCCAGGGTTTCGAACAAGCCATTGCCATTTCTGGGCGTCTCGTAGACGGGAATCTGGACTTCTGCGGGTAACCCAGCCCAACAAGACCTTGTTAGGGCTCCTCTTTCGGGGGGCGGGCTTGGCATCCGAATTGCTTCACCTTCCCTATGCAGCGCTCCAAATACCCACTTGCTTGTGGCCATGAAAAGTAGAAAACATGGGGGCTCGGGGGCAGGGAGATGGAGGGGGAGCCCAAACAAGCCCTGAATTAGGCCTGACTAAGAGCCCAAGAGAAACTGCTGGCCAAGCCTCAAAATCAACCTCCACCCCCACCGGTAAGTGGCCATGCCACTCTACAATGGGGTACATCCAGAGCTTTGCGCAGATCGAAGCTCTCTTGGGTTATTTTTTGTGTGCATCATAGAAGTCCGCCTGCAGCGCAAGCCTTTGACGTGACCTGTTCATCCGTGAGAAGCTCCCTTTGGTCTGTGGAAGCTTTGACTCACCAAAGGCCCATGGCGACACCCAATCCAGCCCCTCTTGGTGAGGTTCGTAGGACAGCCATGTGGTCTAATAGATTCAATCCCTGGCTTTGGCGTCAGGTGAAACGGTTCCGAATAATGCTTGGGTGTCCGATGGGATCTGAATACGTACGGAAAAAGAAAAAAATCTCCCCAGGGCCATGGTTGAAGAACAACAACAATCATCTGTTTCGGTTTGATTGTGCATTTCCATAGTTTATGTCCCCCCCCCCCCCCAAAAAAAAAAAAAAAAAAAACTTGTTTATGGCCCCATCTCCAAAACGTTTCAACAGAAGTCCTCCACCCCTCCAAGAAAGTAAAACACAATAACATATAATAACACCAAAACAAAGGTAGGGATTTGGCAACCATTCCCCCCAAAATGGGTTCTCCCAAGTCGCAGGTGTGCAACCCTCAGGTAACTCCCAGCCAGGACTACTTTGTCAGATCCTGGGCTCACAAAGAAGCGGCCACCGAAACCCGAAACCCGATTTGCCGCAACCATGGCCTCGTAACTTGTGGGAACCCTCCTTTTGAGGGTAAAGCGCGTGGTGTGTGTGGGGAAGGGAAGCCAAATGGAAACCACTGATTTTGATGTGCCATTTGAAGACAAAACCCCATGTAGGATCCTATCTGGAAGTCCAATGATTCAGCCACCTGAAGTAAGGATGACATCGCGCAGCATGCCGGCATGGCTTTTCTCCAAGAGACCCAAAATCATGCGCCAAACGTGCAGCCGCTGACAGAAACAAGCCTGGCGGGCGAGGAACCCGCCTCACTCTTAGAGGTCTGCCTGCCTGGAATTGAAACACCGGACGCGCAGGGATCGTCCAAAGTAGGAAGCTCTACATCGCCACCTGAAACTTCCAGCTCAATGCACTCTTTAGGTCAACTCCGCCCCAAGATTTCACTGATAGCGGAGGGAACGCGAGTGGAAGCAAGAGGCTGGGCATAAGCAGTCAGCCAACCAGTGAAAAACCACACGGCGAGTTTTTTCTTGGACCGAGTCCATCGGCTTATGCAGCCTCTCCAAAACTTTGAACCGGCAGCTAGGCTCTTGGCCATAGCCCCATGCCAATATGGCAATATTGACACAGCCCAAGAGATCCAAAACTTCAATCGCGGGCCATTCTCCAGATTCGCCGCGTGTCTTTTTTGAGGCTACCCCGAACAAAAAACAGGCAAGGGTCTTCTTCCTTCTGGCTCCCCCTTAAAACCCAGCAACCAAAAAGGGGTAAAAACAAAAAGACACGACAGACCCGCATGGCCATGGGTCGAAATCCAAATCGTATTTCCAGTCAACATCCCAATCCCCCCTAAAATAGGTGCTAAAATGGGTGGTGAATTCACCTACTCACCAAAATGGGATCCCGTTTAACGGTTTTGACCCACGGCCACATCTCGCGCATTCAGAAGTCCCCCTTCTCCGCCTTTGCCCACTGCAGTGCTTGGATCAACCGGCTTTCCCGGCTTTCGCGGCGTTCATCCACCAGCGACTGCAGAGAGGGCGCTCTCGTGGGAAAGGACTCCTTGCAGCCCCCTGTAAACGGACAGTCTGTCGACCTTTCTTGGGGGTACGGTGGATTCCCCAAAGTAAGTCAACCACAAACCATGGGAATTTACAGGGTTTCCTTTGTTCCCTACTTGCAATATTTAGGGCATCAACCGTAGCCCTCTTTTTGTGTGGTTTTAAAGGGGTTGTGGGTCCGATTCCCAAGAAAAGACAGACCCACATTGCGCGAAACCCCCGGCGAGTCCTCGGGGTTCGTCATGCCATGGTCTTCTGAAACCGACGCCAGGCCGCGCCGCCTGAAGGGCCTTTTGCCGCGCACGCGAGCGCCCGGCATCGGCGGAATGGGCTCCATGCGGTAAAAATCGGGTCAAAGGGCACGGCCTTGAGCAACCATAGCTGAGCCGCTAGTGGCGGCGGGTAGCAGCCTTCGTCTCACTTTGGAGCTTTGGAGCTTCGGATGTAGAGCTAGGGTCCTTCCCGTCCCGATCCTCTCGTGGCCATGGCTCTGAAAGGGAAATGGACCTGAGGTCCGTCAAGCTTTCCATGTTCCCCAAGAAGCCGACCTTTGTGGTTTGGAGGGCGCCCAGATTGCGGAAAAAAGGCCAATTGGCTGGGCAAGCGCCGATCTTTGCCGTTGCATGGTGTTGAATGAAGTACAAAACCCCTGATATCCCACGACCTTGATTGCCCTCGTCCAATCAATCTTCACTGAAAGAGGGGAAGGTTCCTTGGTACGTGAAAAGCCGCTTCCAGCACTTTGGAGGTCGAGGGTAAGGGCTTCCGAGTTTCAGCCACTCCCGCATCATGGTGAGGAACGCCCCCAAAGAACAATGGGTGGCTGGCCTTTTTTGGGGATCCCCAAAACGGATTCGGTGTTTCTTTTGGTTTTCCTTAAAAACCACCCAAAACATGGGTACCCTCAAAAGAAGGCACACCCATGCATATGATGCGGGCTTGCTCAAAAAGGGCCAAAAGACAAAAGCACAATGCCAAAACAAACACACAAATGCTATCGGTGCGTTTCTACGCAAAAGGGGAACGGTCTGTCTGGTTTGAACAAAGGGCTCTCCTCCCCTTTGGTTTGTTTAGGCAAAACTGTCTAGACCGCACAAAGTTGATCCATTTCAAGACACTACCCCTGTTTCCCCCTCAAAGGCGCCCAATATTATTGACTTTTTCTTTCGCTCTAAGAATCCCGGCCCACAAGACACAGAAAGTAACAGCACCCCAGCGCCCTCAAAAAAGACGCACCGCAGGGTTCAAAAAAAGATACGCCAAACAGGATTCGCCTCAACAAAACGAGTATCCTCAAAAAAGGCACCCCCTCGCCCACAAAGGGAAGAACAAACACACATTCCAAACAAGTTAAACCCCTCAAACAAGAATTGCTACCCTCTATTTCTTGGAGGGTATTCCAAAAAAAACACGAGGGTCCCCCCCTAACCCCCCTCCCCCACCCACCCACCCCAAGACACACAAAAACCAAACGAACAGAAAAAAACAAAGACGACCAAAACCCACAAAAAACGCCCGGGGCAATCCCCCACCCCCCCCCCCCGCCCCAGCGACCACGCGCCACCGCGCCTCCTTGAGCTGCTCCGCGTCCAGGTCCTCCAGCAGCTCCGCCTCCGCCGCCTTGGCGGCCTCCAGCTCCACCGAGGCCTCGCGCGCAACGAGCGCGCGGCACTGGTTGATGGGACTGGAGGATGGGGATGAGGTCGGTGCTTTTGAACTTTAGGTTTTTCTAGTTGTGATGTGTTGGCGTTGACGTGTTTCATGTTGTTGCTCTAATTTGTGATGTGTTCGTGGTGGTGTTGTGTTTGATGGTTTGATGATGCATTTGTTTTGATGTTTTGATGACGTGGTTGATGATGTTTAATGTTTTGATGTCTTAGTTTTCTGGATGTTAGGCTTCAAGGTTTTCTGGATTGGGGTCGATCAATATTGCCTTCGGCCCCCACATGACCATGGGCAAGAACCCTAACCAACAAGAGCGCTTTACTCCGCTTGGAAACTAAGCATGCAAGCCCAAGACTGGCATCCAAAAAAGAAGAGTGTTTTCTCTTCCAGAAGCGAAACCACCTTGTTCGCTGATTCCGGGGCCCTTTCTTCTCCTTCCGGCCAGCAACAAATTGGCATGTCGAGATTCCGGCCCATGATTAGTGACCCTTATGCATATTGATGTCCTGGGGAGGCGCCCTTTCTCAGAAGGCCAACATCCACCTTGAGCCGACTGCCGGATCGAAGAGGTGCCGCGCTCTGTGAGTCTACATGGAATCTGCATGTGTTACCATAACTCCAAGGCTGAACTAAGGGATCCCCAAGCTGGCTCCCCCAAATAAGATGAAATTGATAGTCTTCATGGCTCCAACACAGGCAGCCTTTTGGGTTTCCATGGATCTGTTTTGTCCCGGATCATGGCTCACAAAACCAGCACCCATCGATTTTTCACCCAGCTCACCCGATCCAAACACATCCTACGGGCCTACGGCTCCAGCCAGCCAGGTCCCATCCCCATCCCGCCTGAGTGGGGGCCTCCCGACTCCCGGGCATCTGCAGCTCCGGGCACAGCTTCGGCAGGCGCGGCTCCCGCAGCAAGGTCCGCAGCGCGTCGTCCTTCGAGACCGGCACGCTGGTTTCGGGGCAGCCGGCCGGGCAGGGGGGGGGGGAGGAAGGGCGGGGGGGATGGGAGGAGGGGCCAAATTCGGGTTTAGTTGTTGATGAAGTCTCCCATTGGTCCAAAAAAGCGGACACTTTCAGCAGTGATTGCTCAAAGGCTAGGTCTACCCAAATGAGCATTGAAGGAGATTCTACTCCACCAACTCCACACCCCAACTCAACCCCAATTCCAACACGAATCTAAAGGTCGCAAAAGCACACCAAGAGCAACTCAGGTGAAGGGAGCCTGCGAGGAGGATTGAGACATCTGAGACGCTTGACACCCCTCTTTTTGTCCTCATGTGCGCTTCTATCACGAAAGCTGACAGGACTTGGAAGATAGCTGGTTGTTTGGATCGGCAGCTTGGGGACTTGGGGACTTGGGGGAAGATGAATAGCTTACTCTGATGGCAAAGTGACCCTGGGCAAGTTCTGTGACGTTGACTCATGCATGGGTAATGTTGCTTCTTGACTGGAATCATTCGGGTCCGGCCACCTGTTTGAACCTACCTCATCTTTTGCAATGTATGCATCACAGGATTTTCGTTGGAATGTCACTTCACAAATGGCGCGTTTCCAAGTGGTTGCCATATAGCCGGCCTTCAACGCCACATTTATCATTTTGGAAAAGGACAAGTTTGCACCAACTCGCAGGGGTAGGATTATCCATGATACGTATATATATATATATGTACATACATCCGCTCCAAAATGTGCCTGCATCATCACCGTTTGGTTGCTAGGTTTACACATTTCCTTCAACTCTTCAACTCGGATGATGCTCAAAGCGGATCGATAGGGAAACCCGACCCTGCACTTTCAGCGGGCACAGCCCGGCTGGTAATGTCCCTTTGACATACCACTCGGACATGGCTGTGAGAATGGCAAAATCGCGATCATAGATGGCCCTGGTAAATGAACTAAAACCAATCTAAACCGTTCTATCTATTTGTAAACAAACTAACCTCAAAAGGACACCTATGATCATCACGCTTTCGGCAGAGTTGTGGCACCTTTGGCACAAACAAGTAGGCGGACTCAATAAGGCAAATGGTCGGGCTTGTCTCCGCATGGGATATAGAACCCACAAAACGGGAGGTTTCTCTTTGGTGTCCCTTTCCAACACTGCCTAAGCATGCTACTATCAAAGACCTGGAAGAAAAACATGGGTGTGTCACAAGATCACAGCCAAGAGGGTGGGGGGCTCGCTTTTGATTTCCTCTTGACGAAGCGGGCTCCGTTTGAGGAGAAATACAGTTGCAAGCAAGCAATAAAGAGTGGAAACCGAGCAACAAAGGGAACCCAAGAGGATACCAACCACTTTCAAGGCAAATCAGAGGCAAATCCCTTTGGGTGTTTCTCAAAAATTAGAGACCCTTGAAAGTGACTTGTTCCCTTCCTTCCCTTTAAACCCAAACAAAAAGGGGATGAAATGGTTGAGCTTTCTCCGGGAGCCAACTGGTCCTTGAGGTAGATGAGCATGCAGGCGCGCGACTCCCGGGGACGCTTCAGCACTGCTGAGGGCCCGTAGAGATAGTTCACGCAGAGCCACTCCTGGATCAAATTTCGGCTCGCGCAAAGCCTCATACCGTTCCTCCCACTAACAGAAGGTATCTCACAGGTAAATTCCTGGAAGCTCATTGTTCTCTTTAAGAGACCCTCTGTCAGGTGCCACGGCAACGTGGGGGTTTAGGTTTGGCTCCTTTGACATCATACGGGGACCTCCCTGACTCACAAACAGATCCACTGCGCAAGCCAATTGAAGTGGAAAAGCTGGTCAGACTATGCCTGGCACCCATCGCCATGTCCTTTTAAACACATCTGTTGAAAAATCAAGCAATCACGGACTCAGCAAAAGAGGAGTGAAACAAATGGTAAAAAGGCACGTGGTTCCATCTGCACGAATTCTCAAACGCTCCTTGATTTTGTGGAACCGGTTCACAGCCATTCAAAGTGAGCCGTCAAGTCATCGCCCAGAACTAGTAGCACATTGCAACTGGTTGCCAATGTTCATGGTTCATTGGGGAGGCATGGAGGATTCCTGATCTCACTATCTATACTATCTGACCCGAAACCTGCCGGTGCTCAGTAGGGAATGACCCAGGGAGGGATTCCTTGAATTGAAAGGAACGCATAGGGTATGGCTTCTTTCTGGTTTCCATTTCCTCCCTGCCTATCGAACCAGCAAGGAAAACGGAAGGCCGCGAGGCTCCAATTGATGTCTCCAAACCGTCCCACGTAAAGTTGAATACCTAAGGCTTCACAGCTTCCTTCTTGGGAAACCTTCTTTCGGGCAGCTCCGGAAAGGTTTGCCCGGGAAAGGTGGGCCTCGAGGGGGTTTATTCACAGGAAGCTTCCAAAAAAGAGCAATGTGTACAAGTGGCCATGCCCTTTCTCAAACAAGTTGCAAAGCAACCAAAAAACCTTTGGACCCCTCTCCCTCTTGTTCCACCCCCCCGCCCTGTCCCGTATTTTGCCAATCCCTCGTTCCTGAAATGTTCCTCTCTCTCAGCACCAAAACACTTGGCAGGCAATGAGGGAATGACCCGCATAAACCATCCAACCGGTGGTTTCCTTTATTCCGGAATCCCCAGGTTCCTTCCATTTTCCCATTCTTGGCGGACGTTGGAAGGGGAGCAAAAACTCAAATCTTAGCAGTTAAGTGGTTGGATTTCAACCGCTAAAACCACAAGAAGCAGGACATGTGAACTGTTTCCCAACCAAAAACCACCGCCATAT